GGCTCCCCAGAACCGGCTTGGGCCTTGCTGCTAGGTGCTCGATGGGTCAGAATGGCGGGGTTGTTCCTGAAAGGGGGTGTGGTGAGGGTTGGAGTTTTGGGGTTTCTTCTTCGTTAAGTCAGACGGTAACAGTGCCGAGCCTCCCTTCCTCAGAGGGGCGGCAGTGCCAGCGCAGGGGCCCATCGGACATCTTGGCCAGGGATCCAGCTGTGCCCTGAGCCGTGAGTTGTAGAGGTGTGTGCTCAGGCGGTGTACTTCCACCTCAAAAATTGTCTGGTATTGTTGTAAGTAATGTAAAGTTCCTAAAGCTTGCAGAGGTTAGATAAAAAGTGCATTTGACAGCAACTTGTATAGCACCGACTTTACAATCGCAGACTGAGTCTATTGCTGCCTGCTGAGTTTTGAGCATCTTTAGTGTGGGAGCAAAGAAAATAAAGCTGGCTAACACAAGAAAAATGGAACCATCGAACTCAAAGCATATTCATTAATAAAGTGATTAGATCTGGTTGTAGTCCTTCAGACTGTTTCTAACAAGGGTTGGAGTTCAGGCGAAGTGTCCTATCTGCTAGCATTTTTTCTAATTTTTGAATATCTTTTCACCAGGACTGACTTACCCATAGGAGAGGGACCTCTAATTTAGGAATGTATAAAATCCATGTGGATGCACATGGATTTTATACATTCCTAAATTAGCACTTTAGAAGAGAGTTGGATTCAAGGAATAATAAAGAAACAAAAAATCTGATCAAAATCCTGTTTTAAAATTTTGCTACTTAAAAATGGTGCAGGTTTCTTTGCAGAAGCCTGACCACAAAAGCTGTGTGTACCTTGCAGGGGCTTGTGGACAGCAGTTGCTGAAAGGCGAAGAGCAGCCAATGCGCTTTGCTCCCTTTGCTGATCAGACAATAAACACGCTTTTCTCTCCCGCACTTCAGATAATTGGAGGGTCTTGTCAGCACACATCTCTTGCTGCTGCGCCCTGCGCAGAGTCTTGCTCGAGAAAACATGGGTGCAAACAAATGTCAGCTCTGTTCTCAGGCTGCTCTGGGGCCAAGGTCTGCTCAATTCAGTAAGATCAGACTTGGAAGCGCTGCAGTGGAGCGGTTTGTCCCCGTCGGAGAGGCAATAGGCAGAGGGTCAGCTGTGCTTCTGCGTAGCTTCAGACCATGTTAGAGACTCCTGTTGGGAGCCATCAGCTGGGCATTAGCCTGGTGGGGTCATCTTGTTTCTGCTACCCTTCTCTGTGTGTTTGCCGTTTTGTCTCCTCTCCTACTTGACAGCAAACCTTTTGGGCCGGGGCTCTTGCCAGCTTGCACCATGCCGGGCAAGTGCCCAGCTGCTGATGGAGCGGAGCCCTTTGCTGGGGATGCTGCTGCCTCGTGCCCGCTCCCTGAATTGGCTCCGAGGGGAGATGTTCCCCTGCCTTCCTCTCCTGAACATGCTCGTCTCCTCGGCGGAGGGCCCAGCGTCCGCTTCCTTAGCCCTCTGTGCGGTGTGTGCTGCGGAGTCGACCGACACGGGGCTGCGTTGGAGAGAGACATTGGCGGGGTCCGTCCTCACACGCAGCACTGCTGCCAAGTCTGCAAGTGACATGGGCTTTTCCCAGCTGCTGGAAGCAGCTTTTTGGCCTGGAAGCCAGAATCGCTTGATGGCTTTTCTGTGCAAATAATACAGAGATCGCGCGGTTTCTGTGCTTTGTCTACACAGACCCCTCCTCGCAGCTTGCCCCAGTGCAGCCTTGCATGTAGGCTGGTAATGAGAGCCTCAATATGCTGACTTTTCCAAACTATTGTTTGGAGACTGTAACCAAAGTTGCTGTTTCCTCATTAGAATAGCCTCTGTCAGAGCATCTTTAATCAACGGACTCCCACAGACAGCGTTTTTAGAACTTACTTTATACTTCCTCTTGGAAGTTCCTTGCACTGCACCTCGTGAAGAAACTAATGAGATGCTGTGAGAGTTCAGGCTACCGTTAATTAGAAGAGGTCTGAGGAAGTACTGCACATATATTAACTTTATCTTGGCTCACATGTGTCCTCTCTGCCTCTGTCTCTTCTTTCCAGGTTGCACAAACAGCAGATGGCTTGGATGCTGACCTCTGGAAAGATGGCCTGTTTAAATCCAAGGTCACACGATACCTGTGCTTCACGAGATCGTTTTCAAAAGAAAATGTAAGTCCATTTGCTGAGTGTGTCTGCATGATTTGCATCTGTGCCTGGTATGCTCTTACCCATAAGATGATTCATTTTATGGAGCCAATTATAATTCAGGCAGGCATTTTGCTGAGTTTGGGTGAGTCAGGAGGCAAACTGCAATGGATAGATATTTGCATTTTGTCTGTGTTCTTTGTAGAAAGAAATCGCTGGCAAAATCTGCAATAAAAGCAGCAGAAAAGGGAATGCTTGCCTTTGAGCAACCCCCTCACGCTCGCGTTTGCTACTGTAGCAATGGGTGCTGCGTGCTCACGGTCTTGAAGAATTTGTGACTCTGGTTACCTGGAGAAGCAAACGCTGCAGGTAGTGTTGATGAAGGAAATGTTAGTTTCTGAATCCAGGGGCATCACAGATGTTTTCTTGCAGGATTAGCTTTTCCTTCTTTGTTGTTTTTGGTGCTGATTCTTGAGAATTTGCCCATGTTGTGCATATGCTACCATATTCTTGTAATCTTCTAGTATGGCTATTAAGCAGAAGTTAATTTCTGATCAGTGTCAGTTGTCTGCCCACATCTTCCGTGGAGGAGAGAAGACCATGTGCAGTGAGAACCTGATGCCTTCTACTCTGTTTTTGGCTGAGACTAGTGTGAAAACTTCCTCTTTTCTGGAGGAACTATTTAATTCTACAATGAATGCACTCCATCTAGTGGGTAATCCTGCCTTGTGTCGTCTTTTGGATATTCACAGCGACTCCGTTGTCAGGGTGTGGAGATACCATTTTGTACTCTTGCTTTCACCAATGACGGGAACAGAAGAGCGACTGTGACTTCAGAGGCTGAGCACGGGTCCTGACAGGAAAGCCGTGGGCTGCCAATTTCCAGCATTTGGCCTTTCTTCCATCCGCTTCCCTGCCTGCAGATTAAAATAAAGCTCCAGAGCTATGGGAAATATCGCTTCCTGGGGTGGAGGGGCAAGAATTGTGCTTTTCATCCTGGAGTACCTGCAGTAGCAGAAACGATAGCCCCAGAATGGGCAGGGAGGGTATTAAACAGAAAGATTTGTGATGATTTGAGTATTAAGTTTATCTGTGGCTACCTTAAATGCGAGGTTGTCAGAAATAATTACAGGATAGTAGCAACTGCTGGCTACCAGAGACAGTGTAAATACCCTCAGTCGGTGTCTGTTGAGCTTTTGGCACGAATCCTCTGCTCGGCGCGGTTTGGGAATGCGTTCCTCATATTGATGAGGAGTGAATTAAAAGGAGGCTGGGGGGAGGACTGCCGGTCCCAGCTGTGCAGCAGCCTGGTGTGCGAGGCACTGCGTCCCACGGGTGGGCTGTCTCGAGGCCAGCATCGGCAACGCTGGAGACCCGCGGGCGCTCCTGACAGAGCTCCTGGGCAGTACCCGATGGATGGCAGAGCTCCCTCTCTTCTCTGAGCTGGCTTTGCCACAGCTGGGCAGCCTCCTCCAGCCGGCAGAGCAGGCTCCATCCCAAGGACACCTCGACACGCGCTTGTGCTGTGTGAGGCCGTGGCTTCACGTGTGCGAGGGGCTCTGTGAGGCAGAGACTGGACCAGGAGGGAGAGCCTTCTCTCACTTGAACCTTCATGTGGTGCTGCGCTTTGGCTTGGAAGTTTTACTGCTCAGAGATTTTTTTGTTTTTAACAAAACACTGGGAACTGTTTGTCCCGAAGAACGTGTTGTAGTTAGCAGAGTTAATGCACCTCAGATACCTGGTTTATGACGGAGATGGTCTGTAGTGTCTCTTTATCAGAATCATCCTTCGTAACAGCTTACAGTATTTGACATATTATGAGGACATTGCTGGTATTTGAATGTCACGGTGAGGAGGCCCGAAACGGTGCATCTCGCAGATGGGGAGGCTTTGTGCCCTTTTCTCCCATGTGTATGGCAGAGCATCAGTGCTGACTCCCAGTGTTTCAGCAGTTAACGAACTTGTCAGAGGCGTCTCTCCTGCCTGTCTGCCGATGATGGAGGAATGATCGTTGGTTCAGCTGAAAGTTGCACGCTGATGAAACACAGCCAGACAGTTTGAATAAATAAAACATGAAAGATGAATCAGCAGCGACCATTACCATTTGCTGTGCCAGGACAACGTTAACTGATACATTCAAGCTTTGCAGCATCCAGCGTTGCTCGCTCCGAGATGCCTTGGCCGAAGCGGGGACCGAGGCGCGTGGGGACTGCCCGGCCTCGGCTGCTGCGCGTGAGCCGGGGACGTGTGCCACGCTTGTGTGTGGGGGGACAGTGCTGCGGGCGTGGGGCCCCTCCTCGTGAGGAGCTGACCGTGAAATGCAGAACCTTCAGAAAACAGACTCTGAACTGGTCTCCCCTTATTTCAGAGGCTGCAAATTTAAATATATTTTTAAAATAGTTCAGTGTAATAATCGGAGAGTGGAGGTTTGCCTGAAATACTCTGCCAGATAAGAAGTGAAGGAGTTATGTAGCAACCAGTGACAGCAGAACACACTGACATGGTTTGATGGCTTAGGATGAATTTTAATTGTTCTGTATTGCATTTCTGTTTGTAAAGGCTGTGCAATAACTTAAAAGTGTGTTTTTCTTCCACACATGAATCCAGATTATTGGCAGCAATGCTGGCTTTAACGAGAACTGCAAAGAAAATCTGGTCTCTAAACAATTGTGGAGGCTGTCATTCTGAATTGTGTTTTGAGCTCTTCAAGCCTTGATTAATAGGATGAGGCATCAGTTCAGAATTCATACGGACTCCAAATGAAGTTCTTCGTTCCAAATGGCCTGCTTTTCTGGAGCGCGCCTGTGTTTGGAGCTAGAACCATGTCTATTCAGTACTAATTAGCTAATGCATGTAATAGCTTTGGCTGCGTCTGCCTGAACCATCTTCCTGTAATGCTTTCTGCTGTTGCTGTCACGGAAATCTCATGTTGCTATTGTAGGTATAGGGTGTGTGAGAACTAAGGTGGCCTGTGTAGCAGATGAGTTGGTGGAGGCAATATTTTAAACTGCTGTGTTTCCAAAGGGAGGAATTTAATTGTGCTGCAAAGGATCCAGAAGTGTGGCAGTGGATGATGTATAAGGATCTGTAAATACTGAAAATTGTCCAGTATCTCCTAGGCAATCATCGTGCAGTTGCTGCAGAGACTGTTGCACGTGTTGGCTTGCTGTCTCCTTACCGGTTTTACAGTTGGGAGGTGGGAAGAGTCTGGTTTGAATTTGGTGACATTGACATAGTCAACTGTTTCTTTCCTCTCTCCAAAGAGTCATTTAGGCAACGTCTTGGTTGATATGAAGCTCATTGATATCAAGGACACTTTACCCGTGGGCTTCATCCCCATCCAGGAGACCACTGATACACGTAAGTTGGCCTCTGTTCTTCAGCTCGGTGCCTTGGGAGCAGCCGCTCTGCCGGTACCTGTGTGGTTGGGCGGGGGAGGGCTGCGTCCGGGCAGAGGGATGCTTGGCACTGCCGCTCTCTGCGGTTACATGTGCATGTTTGAAGACCGCTCTGGACTGCGATGAAACAGCCTTCGGTTTTCCTGTACTCTCCAGGCTTTTTTAATACTGCTGCCTGGCAGTCACCACCTCACCTGAGAGCGCAGCGCAGCTCCGGGGCAAGAAGGAATAGTTCTTTCATTTTGCGAGGGTGGACTAGGCCTAGCAGGAGTAGAGCTGCTGTGCTGAGGGACGTTCACAGATGGGTACTGAAAGGAAGGACATGTGCATGTGGTGCTGGGTTCGTGCACGCCGACGTTACAACTCCCTCCGTGAGCAAACAAAGGCCCGTGCGGTGGCAGGTGGTGCTGAGGATGCTGGGGTGAGTTTGCGCTTGCTGAGAGAAGGCACAAGTGGAATGTCCAGGGAGAGTATCATGCTCGCTCTGCAAGGCAGAAATGGCTTTGCTGCAACATTTAAACCAGCACCTCCCGAACAGCGTATTCGGATCCCCCGAGACTGATGGCAGTGGCAGCTGGAGCCGCGTCTGGTCGCAGCACTTTGCTCTGCAGCAGGCGTCAAGCGCTCTGGGCTCGCAGCGCGGACGAGGCCGGGGACGAGCCCCCCGGGAGCTGAGTGTGGGAGGCTGCAGCACACCGTGCGCTGGTGCTGAGCCTGCAGCTGCTGCGCAAGGGCAGGGCTGGTGCCGCTGCTCGTCAGTAATGAAATCCAGCCTAGTTGTGAGCAGAAAGGAATAGTGTGAGCCTGCTTTGCAGGGAATAATTCATCTGAGTCTGCAGCAGATGAGGATGGTTTTTCAGTCACTGCTGACCTGCTTCTGGTTTGAACCCGTGACCTAGAAGTGAAAGGCTCTGCAGCCGATTTCCCGTTCCCCTGGGTCATCCCTTTTCCCTGGAGAGTTCGTGGGCACGCGTGGCGTAGGGGAGAGTCGTTGGCTTATCCTGCTCGCCCTTGGGAGCGCTGGACACTTAACTGTGTGCTGCTGTAATTTTTGTGAAAGTCCTGGTGGAAAGGTGGAAGGGGACTTTGTAATTAGTTCAAAATGCATTGGATTGCAACTCACACAACCCTTAAAGCGGAGGCACTGTCTGTATTAACGAAGCGGTGCATATCCCTGCCTCCGTTAGCATGAATAAACACATTCCGACTATTTATACTACGTTTACTTAAAATTAACTCTCATTAAGCATGTGTAATTAACGAATCCAGCTCCTAAACCAAGTGTGCTAAAGACTGCAGACTCTAGCCAAGTGTGAAAGAGACCAAAGACAAAAGCAAATAGTCAGCTTTGTACTTACTGTGAAAGCCAAATAAGAGGCACTGGTTTAGTTCAGTTAAATTTGTGGTTGTACGTGTTTCTGTGCTCTTCTCTAAGTGACAGTTGACTGGTAGTAGCTGTACTAAATATAGTACTCCTTACTAGGTTCTGAGAAAATTTTCAAATGTGGAACCCTTAAACCCTGGGCTCCTAAAATCAGTTCTAGGCACTTCAGATAAAATCCCTCATTTTCCAAAGCAAGAGAAGACTAGACTTCAGGGATACAGGTATTTAACATCTCTACAAAGCAGCACTGTACCTGCGAAGCTGCATGCACAGATGCTGTGTTGTGACACACCTCGCGCTGTCTGCACGTTTATTGGTGCGGTGTGACAGCAAATTTCAGAGGCGGGGATGGATTGCTTTCTCCAAGGTGCGGATTACGAAACTGGAGGGGCCTGTAGAGACAGGGCTGCTTGCCATCTGTTGAAGTGAGAGCATATTTTTAAGCTGGAGGGTATTTATTCATATTAAACTGAAGGGTTTTTATTTCGCAGGCACTTGTTTGTAGTTGTTGGTTGTTTCCAGGTTTTTCATTCAGTGTTTGCGCTTGAGATTTTCAGTTTGTCGATAGACTTCTGTCATGTCTTTGAAGTGCCTGCGTTCACAAAGAGAAACCTCATCGTGCTCACGTTGAGACTCTCACAGACTCTTCAGGGCGAGACAGAGCCGTGGTTTCCAAGCACGGCAAAGCTGTGTCTGTGTGCCAGTACCACCCGCCGTCATGCAGCTGACCCGTAGCTGGGGGTGCATTGTGTCTGCATGCAGACAGACAGCGTGCGTGTACCCGAGTTCATTCTACAGATAAGCCTGAACCCTGATGGGCTGGAGGTTTTTCGTGGTGGATAACATGGAAACAAGTGAAGTTGCTCTGCAATGCATAGCAAGAAAGCTGCATGCAGCATGCATCCACCCTCTGAGCACAGGTCAGTGCAGCACAGTTGCCTCGTAAGAGGTCCTAGCAATTAACGCTTTGTAAATGAGGGTTATCCCTACAAAGATACCAGGGCAAACACGGTGGGAGTATCGTTTCAGTGCCTGCTGACTGAGTCAGGAGAGGTCAGTAACGCTTAGGATGCCTGAGAGCTGGGCAGACGGCTTTGTTGTTAGCCCCTCTGCATGGCAGTTGGGTTTTCTGCCTGCTCCTCCTCACGGTTTCGTCGGCTGTTTGGAAGCACTTGGCAGAACAAAATGACCGGCTGTGTCAGCAGCATCCGGGTATGTTCCTAGAGGCGATGCCTGTGGGAGGAATATTTAGATAGGACTATCCAGACTGGTAAGGCAAACATTACCCTGGAAAGAGAAGGCGAATGTGAGAAGTATGTGGAAGTGGAAAAATCACCTCCCATTTCTGTTCTGTGGTGCAGTACTCTGTGGCATACGTGATGTCTTATCTTCTCTGCAGAAGGTGGTAGGGAGTATTGGTTTATCGCAGTGCCTAATAACAAATCTCACACAGAGTGCAGAGAACTCCTGATAGAAGATTTCTCCAGTCACTGAATGGCACTGCACTCTCTGGTTTGATGACGTAGATCTGTTCTTTGGCTCCATTCCTAACATAATTATCTGCCTAATATCTGGAGAGACAATAAATAACATTTATACCCTAATCTTGCATAAAAACCACCCTGTGTCCTGGGTTGTTTTTGCAGAAGAAATAGCTTTCAGAAAGAAGAGGCTGTGCATTAAATTCATCCCTCGAGATTCTACAGAGGCAGCGATCTGTGATATCCGAATCCTGGGTAGATCTAAACAAGCCCCTCCTCAGTACACCTTCATAGGGTAAGTATCCCTTGCTCCAGAAGCTGTTGTTATAAATTCAATTGTACTGAGGCTAAGCACTCTGTTTTCCTATAATTACTAAGTAGTAGTTTGTAAGAGCTGAAGCTTGTCATTAGAGAAGTCTGCATCAGTACAAGTGTTACTGAGTTTGATGTAGGAATTAACTACCCCCCCCTTTTTTTTTTCCCCAAGTAGACTGGTTCTTACTAAGCAAGGTGTTGGTGAAACACATCAGTGCCTGATACTTGTGCGGCATTTGCTTGTAGCTTTAATGTCTTCTGTATTGATAACACAGGGAGTTGAACAACATGGGCATTTGGTACCGGATGGGCAGAGTTCCACGCAACCATGAATCTTCACAGCCTGAAACTCCTCCTTCCCAAGTACCATCTTCAACACCAGCTCCTAACCTGCCAAAGTAAGTTTTCTGCTTTCCAGCCCCTTCTGTTACATGCTGCATGGTCTGTTGTTACTAACCTTGCCTGTTGGAATCAAGACCAGGGTACCACATTAGAATGGTTACGTGCCATGATCTGAGAGAATTGTAGAATGGAGTCACAGAATAATTTGGGTTGGAAGGGACCTTTAAACACTGTCTAGTCCTACCCCCTGCCGTGAGCAGGGACATCTTCAACCAGATCAGGTTGCTCAGAGCCCCGTCCAACCTGGCCTTGGACGTTCCCAGGGATGGGGCAGCCACCACCTCTCTGGGCAACCCGTGCCGGGACCTCACCACCCTCAGTGTAAAACACTTCTTCCTTCTGTCCAGTCTGAATCTCCCTCTTTCAGTTTAAAGCCATCACCGCTTGTCCTGTCGCTGCAGGCCCTGCTAAAAAGCCTGTCCCCATCCTTCCTACAGGCCCCCTTTAAGCACTGGCAACTGCTCTAAGGTCTCCCCGCAGCCTTCCCTTCCCCAGGCTGAGCAGCCCCAGCTCTCCCAGCCTTCCCGGGGGGTCTCAGCAGAGCGGGGCAGAGGGGCAGAATCCCCTCCCTCACCCTGCTGCCCGCTCTGCTGGGGATGCAGCCAAGGGTATGGCTGCCAGCGCTCATTGCCAGGTCATGTCCAGCTTTTCATCCAGCAGTACCCTCAGGTCCTTCTGGGCAGGGCTGCTCTCCATCCCTTCATTCCCCAGACTATAGTGATACCGGCGTTGCCCCAGCCCAGGTGCAGGAATCTTGCACTTGGCCTTGTTGAACCTCATGAGGTTCCCATGGGCCCACCTCTCCAGCTCACCCAGGTCCCTCTGGATGGCATCCCGTCCCTCAGGTGTGTCGACCGCACCACTCAGCTTGGTGTCATCTGCGAGCTTACTGAGGGTGCACTCGATCCCTCTATGTCATTGATGAAGATGTTAAACAGTACTGGTCCCAGTACAGACCCCTGAGGGACACCATTTCTCACCATTCTCCACCTGAACATTGAGCTGTTGACCACTACTCTCTGGATGCAACCATCCAACCAGTTCCCTATCCACCGAACAGTCCACATGTCAAATCTGTAGCTCTCCAGTTTAGAGAGAAGGATTTTGTGGGGGACTGTATCAAACGCCTTACAGAAGTCCTGATAGATGACATCCGTAGCTCTTCCCTTGTCCACTAATGTAGTCACTCCATCATAGAAGGCTGGTCAGGCAGGACTTGCACTTGGTGAAGCCATGCTGGCTGTCTCAAATCAGCTCGGTTGCCTGCCATGCTGTGGCACAGTGCTTGCTGTCCTGTACTGTCAGGTGTGCTGCAGGCAGAGATGCTGTCCTGCTTCTCAAACAGAGACGGAGACAAAAGACATGAAAAGCCAGCAGTCTTCTGGAGATTTCAGCCTGTCCCACTGGGAGCTGAGATGTTGTTTTGAAGCTCCACTGGACATAAGCTACATGCTAGCACAGGCCACACAAGATCAGAGAAAAAGATGTCTTGATTTTTAGAGCACAGATCTTCATTTTCTGTCTGCAAGAAATTCCTGCCTGGGCAGATTTCCACAATAAAGAGAAAAAATTATCATAGCAAGATAATGTCAAGGATGGTCCTTAATCACTAAGTGTGGAAGGGTCACTTTACGGCTGAGCAGGGAAGGCTGCAGAGCGGCGTCAGAGCTGTTGGGAACAGGGCCAGAATTAGAGCTCAGAGCATCAGCGACGGTCTGAAAAGAAGTGTTTACAAGGCTTATATATTTTATAACCTCTTGTTGTACAGTTTATGGTTTACAATGGCTGCAAGGAAATTGGATCAGTTTTGTTTTACTTGCCAAATAAAGCAAATGTCAAAATAGTCAATATAAAATGTATTCTAATTTGGCTGAGTTAAAACAGCCAGTATGCAGTGGAATAATTGAATGTTACATTAATGCCTCCTAGTAAAAACCACCTGTCTGTAGCCAGCTCCACTCTCATGCCCCGTGCGTGATTTACAGGTAACTTTTACACCACCAGCCTGATCATTCAAAGCATCTTTCATGTCTGTTTTTTCACTCTGATTATTTATTATCCAATATATTTTTTAAGAACTAGAAATGTATATAAAGGTGCATCCTGCAAATATTTCATTATTAGAGGGAACACATACTACTTGAAAGCCTTTTCTAATACTTTATCAGCAATGTGGTAAGTTACTCAACACTTAATGTTTGTGGAAGATTGTAGTCACAAGTAACCTCTTATTTTTACGTCACCGTAGAGAGATGAGATTACACTGGTAGCCAGTCTGCTGTTTTATTCCATGTGGATACATCCTGACAGGAACAGCAGCGAGTTACTCTGATGTTGCTGTGAGCGCTAAGAGAAAATCAGCGGGCAGTGCGGAATAGAGTGCTGTGGAGATTCTGCCATTAGGCTGGTCAGATATTTAAGCTATTCTCTTCGGTTGCTGTCTAGCATTATAAAATAATTTTAAATCAAGAGGCTGTGCTTGGGTGCTTCGGAACAATTGCTAACACTGGATATAAACTAAAACAGTAAAACACACCAGTGACCTTCTGCACAGCCAAACCTTCATAAATGGAAGGACTTTTTACTGTGGGAGATGTTTATTTCTGCACCAGCCACATTTCCTGCTCTCATCCGTGACGTAAGCTACTGGTGGCAGTGGATGGCAGCACACCAGGGTTTTGTCATGTGTCAGAAGTTTGACCCTGCGCAGCTTGCAGTGCCGCTTCTGCTGCTCGCGTTGCGGGGTTACAGCTCGCAGTCAGAACTGCACAAGGGGAGGCTTTGTTTGATATTCATGCTGGACTGCATATGTTATTTTTCAGCCATTTCTTCTCCTTGGTGTTTCCTACTGCAGGCATCTGGCTTAATGGTCTCTAGCGGCAGCCCTCGCGCATCCCGGTGAGGCTGGCGTGCTGTGCTGTGGAGCACAGCCGTGCCATTGTGCAAGGCATCACGCCGCTTTACTGTCTTTTCTCTCCAAATTCTGCGACAGCTTCTTGGCACTAATGGCAGCCTGGAGAAATGCGCTCGCAGTTTCCCATCCTAGAAGGCTGCTACTACAGAACCGCTTTTGTTGGCGTCGTCACCAGTGGGGGTTTAACGTGGCTTTCCTCAGCACCTCTGCTCTGTGTTCCAGGCCTGCACTCTCTGGTGCTGGGTGGTGACATCGCTAATTCTCCCCCGAAAGGTGCTAGGAATAGGTATCTCACCTGGCCCTTTGCAGACCTTTGCTTCACCCAGCCGGTGGATCAGCGATTGCCAGTGCACGGGCTGGGGACCTGGAGAAAAGTACACGTTGCGGGCATTTGAGCAGTGTCGTGGGGCTCATCCCCTCCATGCCTCGAGCTCTCTGGAGTAGGCTAGAGCAGGGTCTGTGTGACGTTCTCCTCTTCAAGTCCACTTCCAGCCTTCTGGGAGCAAGTCTCTGACTTCAGTGAATGCACGCAGGGCCAACCTGGAACCATTTTGTCTTGTGGCTGCCTACGCCCTGGCTCCGTCACAGCCGTGGTACCCTGTGAGCCCGTGTGGCTGCTGTGGTTCCATCACATCCCTTCCCGAGGTGCTGCAGGAGTCGCCAGCACTGTCGTCCCAACAGCCCTCTCAATTTGTCAGCTGCAAGCAAGATGTCAGTCAGTGCTGCTGAAGTGTGTTTTACAGTGACAGACATAATTGCGCTTAACTTTTTGCGTGGATGTTATCAATCTGTGACGGATACTTTGGGAAATGGAGCACTCTGATTGCAGATGATGTGTCACAGGCGTTTAATCTTCCTCTCGGAGAGACTGGGATTCAGTCACAACTTTTACTTGTTGATGTCAGGTTTTGAAAATGTAGATTCGTGCTGACCCTGGGAATCGTTCAGTCATTTAGTTTGCAGGGCTGTCATCTGGAAGGTTAATGGCTTACCGGGGAGAAGGAGGATCTTGCTGCAACCCGCTTGTACGCATATCATGCGTCAGCGTGGCTGGGCACTCAGCGTTTCGGTTAGGAAGGGCAGAACTCCTCCAGCTGCCTCCTGGGGTGCCTGTGGCAGGTCTCTGGGGATGTTCTGGTGGAGAACCGCAGAGGCAGGGCAGGGGACGGGGCAGGCCAGTCCTGGGGCGGGTGTAAGCTCGAGCTGAAGCTCTCGGTCAGGCTCTTGATGCCCGCTGCCATCCCAGAGGCAGAGCCACGAGTCGCTTGCTCGTGATCCAGGCTGACCAGGAAGGCACGTGGGTGAGCAGGGCAGTGTTGGCCGTGCGTGCCGCGCCTCGAAGCGTGCCTGGAGACCAGGAGAGGTGGCTGAGCCGGTGGGACGCCCGGCCCGGGGAGGCCATCGGCGAGGAAGCTGCTGTCCTGGGAACGCCGAGCAGCTCCGTTGGGCTTCTCGCACGTGGGGCTCCTGGTGCAGCCAGGCGTGAGCCATCGTGGGGACTGGCAGAAGGAGACACCAGTCTGCGGAGCCAGACGGAGAGGGG